AGAAAAGCCCTCATATTACGTCCGGCCACGGTGTTGCGATCCAGAGGGTGGCGCACGCTTCTGGCCAGGTAGACGTCACCACATCGGCGTCGGAGATAGACTGGACGAAACTGAAGCAAGACAGCAACTTCGGCGATGGACAAACCTCCCTTTAGTGAACCTCCCCTTAATGAAAAAGGCCTGGGACCGAAACCGACGGACCTGGACCCGCAAAAATGACGGCGACGCCCTCTCGCGAACCGAAAACGGCCAATTCGCTAATCGACGTGTCAGGGTAGGAGGTCGGTCCACCCCCGACAACTGGGGTCGGAGACGACGCGATGCTCACCAATGATGTGGAGGAGGAAGCACGCCGTAGCAACGCCCAGGTCCGCCATCATGCACTACCATCGGTGCTCTGCCAGGTCGGCCGGGACGACGTCCCTGCAGCTGTCTGGGTAAATGTGACCACGCCGGCGTCGGAGTTGGAGTCGGAGTTGCATATGGAAAAGGAGTTTGGTTCAGAGTCTGATCAAATGCTCGACTCCGGCGTGGCAGGCAGCTTGCAGTCGGCGACGATACAGTCGATGCTCTCGGTGTTATCGGCCACGCTGCCAAGACGGAGGTTCAACGCGCCCCCCTTTCCCTGGTGGACACCGTGGCTGGCTCGGTGCAACAATGTTGGCCATCGACGCGGTGCTCACCCGGGATGCGGTGAAGGTGGAGGCAGCGTGAAGGAGGGCAGCAAAAATGGCACCAACAAAGTGTGGCTCTTTCTTCTGCGTCACAATCGTGGTGCGGCTGCTCCTGCTTCACAGTCGTGGCGCAATCCTCTGGCTCAAATGGGGGTTGGTCGGCGTGGGAGTCGGTGAGCTGGTCCGTGCGAGAGACGGTGCACAGGTCGAGGCTGGAGTCGGTGATCTGTTCGGCGCTGGAGTCGGCGGGCTGATCGGCACGGGGGTCGGTGAGCTGGTGGGCGCGGGAGTCGGTGAGCCGATCGGCGCGGGAATCGGCTGGTCAGTGCGGAAGTCGGCAGCTGGCCGGCGCGGGAGTCGGCGAGCTGGTCGGCGCAGGAGTCAAGGGGCTGGTCGGCGTGGGAGTCGGTGAACTGTTCGACACGGGAGGCGGCGAGCTGCTTGGTGCGTGGTGGGGTCAGCTGGTCGGCGCGGGAGTCGGCATGCTGTTCATCGTGGGAGTCGGCATGTTATTCAGCGTAGGAATGGGTGAGCTGGTCGGCGCGGGGGCAGCCAAGCAGGTCGGCGCGGGAGTAAACGTAGGCGTCGTGCTGGCGTAGGCGTCGACGTTGGTGCTGGCGTAGTCGTCGACGTTGATACTGGCGTCGGAGAGGACATTGGTCCTGATGTAGGCGTTGTCGTTGGTGCCAGTGCAGGGCTGGAATTCGTTTAGGCGTCAGAGCTGGCGTCGGCGCTAGCGCAGGCGCTGCTGTCGGTGCCGGCGCAGTCGAAGGCGTGCATGATGGCCTCGACGCTGGCGTTGGCGCCGACGGTTGTGCTGACGTAGGCGCCGACAAATCTACCGCCCCGTGCCGACATCGCGGCGCAACCCATCAAATCCTTGCACGCGTGTGGAACCACTGGAGGTCCTAAATGCTGCGTCCTGGCAATGTGCCGGTGCATCCTGTCGGCACCAATCGGGCGGACAAATCGTGCCCCCCCGGAGCAGAGGATGAGTTGGTGGCGTCTGAAGGTTGGTATGTGGTGGCGGTGGGAAAGCGGAGGGATGGGCCGGCGGATAGCCGATGGGCCGGCACGCCAGAACCCGAAATGCCCCAGAGTCGGGAGCGCAAGGGGGTGCAGCCCCTCGGGAATTCAAGGGGGCACATCGCCTCGGGAATTCAAAGGGGCACAGCGCCTCGGGAAAAACAAGGGGGCACAGTGCCACGGGAAACCAAGGGGGTTACCGCACCTCGCACCGTAGTTGGCGTCATGGCGTGCTTCAAGTGCAGCTGTAGGCGCCGAGGCCGGTGCTGTCGTCGGTGCTGCCGTCGTCACTGTTGGTGCCAGTGCTTGCGCGGCGTAGGCGTCGGCATTGGCGCTGGTGTCAGTGCTGGCTTCCGCGCTGGCGTCGCTGCCAGCGTCGGCGCTGGCGGAGGCTCTGGCGTGGCCATTGGCGTTGGCGCTGGCGTAGGAGTTGGCGTCGCTGCTTGGGCGTAGGGGCCAGCGCAGGAGTTGGCGTAGGAGCCAGTGTGGGCGCCGGCATTGGCGTTGGTTTGGTGCCGGCGTGGACGCTGGCGTATGCGCAGGCGCTCTTGTTGGCGTCTGTGACACCGTAGGTGTTGGCGGAGGCTCCAGCGTCGGCATGGCCGTGGGCATCGCCGTTGGAATTGGCGTCGGCGCTGGGGTGGGAAATGTCGGTGAGCTGGTCCGCGCGGGAGTCGGTGCCCTGATCGGCGCGGGAGCCCGGGAGACGGTTAACCGGTCGGCGCGGGAGTCGGCGAGCTGGTCGGCGCAGGGCTAGAGGCCAGCCGACTCGCACAGAAATCGATTTAGTCGGTGCGGGAGTCGGGGGGCTGGTCGGCGCGGGAGTCGATGAGCTGGTTGGCGCGGGAATCGTTTCTTTTTCCCCATCTCCTAAGATGGGGTTCTTGTTATTACTTGGACGCCTCCTACTCCTCCTTCCTCTTCTTCTTCTTCTCCTCCTCCTCATCCTCCTCCACATACCTAAACTTACTCATTCACATAGTTACTCATACACAGACTTACTCATACTCAGACCTGATCCTACTAACTTACTCATATTCAGACCTGCTCATATTCAGACCTACTCATACTCATACTTACTCATGCTGAGATTCACTCCTACCCAGACTTACTCATACTCAGACCGTCTCATTGTCTGACTTACTCAACACACAACAGATTGTGAGGATGTCTCAGGCGGGGCGTTGGTTTCAGCACCCCTAAAGGGAGCCGCCGAGGGGTATGACACGGTCCCGTTCGCGGCCGTTTTGTGGGGACGTCTCAAGCGGTTTGCCTGTTATCTGTCTCAACATCCTTCGCTTGGATAGCAGATTGTGAGATGTCTCAGGCGGGGCGCGGGTTTCAGCACCCCTAAGGGGAGCCGCCGAGGGGTATGACACGGTCCCGTTCGCGGCCGTTTTGTGGGGAAGTCTCAAGCGGTTTGCCTGTTTTCTGTCTCAGCATCCTTCGCTTGGATAACAGATTGCGAGGATGTCTCAGGCGGGGCGCTGGTTTCAGCACCCCTAAGGGGAGCCGCCGAGGGGTATGACACGGTCCCGTTCGCGGCCGTTTTGTGTGGGGATGTCTCCAGCGGTTTGCTTGTTTTCTGTCTCCGCATCCTTCGCTTGGACAGCAGATTGTGAGGATGTCTCAGGCGGGGCGCTGGTTTCAGCTACCTCGGCGTTTCCAAGTCTGCCATATAACAACACTATCATATAATCATATGTTCACCATGACACTACCCTGAAATATGAGATGCGAATATGGCTCATATGGCTAGACGCTCATTTGAATATCCCAAATACAATACTACTTTTGAAAAAAATGCACATATGGGGAGCTTCACGCAGTGAGTCTTTTTTCCCCCCAGCCCCGCCGTCGCGAAGCAAGGGTGCCCCGAAGCCTTGCCGTCGCGAGACTAGGGTGTCCGGGAGCCTCGCCGTCGCGAAGCAAGGGCGCCTCAACGCCTTGCCGTCGCGAAGCAAGGGCGTCCTCCAGCCTCGCCGTCGCGAAGCAAGCGCGTCCCACAGCCTCGCCGTCGTGGGGGTCGGGAGTCGGTGAGCTGGTCGGCGAAGGTGTTGGCGAGCTGGTCGGCGTGGGAGTCGGTGAGCTGGTCGGAGCGGGATTCGGTGAGCGTCTGGAATCGGCGAGCTTGTCCTTCGCGCAGCAGGGGTGTCTGGCGGATGCCGGCGCGCCCGAAATCACGGCCGTCACCGGCCCCGTCGCGGTAGTAGGAGCCCAGATAGAACAGAACATGTCGTAAGCATATGGTGGACACGCCGTCGAAGAAACTGCATTTTTGGCGGATAGGCTGGTGCGCCCAAAATCACGGACGCCGCCACCCCGCCATGGCCGCGGGAGCCTTGTGAGAGCAGGAAGGATCCGAGGGGGCGGGAGTGCTGCGTTATTGGAAGGAGGGCGAATCCGTCACAAGTGCGCCAGGATCGGCGGCAATGCCTTGTCCCGCCGTGCCAGGTGCCATCTATTGTCGAGTGCCCTCGCTGCGTTGGCGTGGCGCTTGGCCCCCTCGCGCATCCATTGCGCCACTGCGTCGTGTATGTCGGTGTCTGGGGTGAGTGGGTTGTGCCTGTAGTGGTTCGTGTACTTGTGATGGCGTAGACAAGTAGTGCCACTGCTGTAAGCTCATCGCACGTTTTGGTGTTCGCAGTGCAGAGCAGGAATGCGTGAATATTGACGAAAGCGGAGGGAGACATGTTCAGCCTGCGCTCCATGGCTCGCTTCGTGACTGGGCATCTGCAATAGTGCTCGATGGAGTCTTCCGCGGCTCCTCCGCAACCAAGGGCGCAACGGCTACGTGCTGAAAGCTTCTGCTGGCACCGCTTGCACGTGCACCATCTGTTCCACAGCGTGCCGAAAACTGCGGCGCTGACCCGCGGAGAGGCCAGCTTCGAAAGCAGTTCGAGATTTGCCAGAGCCCGGCGAGCTTGCCAGGCAGGCGTATTGCACAGGCAGCTCGTTCCTGGGGGCGGTGGGTGCGTTGCAGCGTTGTGGAGCTCCCAGCGCTGGAATGTGTAGCGAATGCGGTAGCTGGGGTGCGGGGCTCGGTGGGCGAGTAGTTTCTGGTAAACTCGTCGTTGGAAGGTGGTTTTGGGGCACAGGGAAGCGTGTGCTGGAGTTGTTCGTTGTCCTGGTGTCGGCGCCGCTGCCGTCGTCCGCGTTGTCCTCTCCGTCGCGGACGCGGTCGGCGTTTGCATTGCTCTGTGGACTGCAGATGTCTTCTACACATGATGCGTGAACCGTTGTAGGTTGTCTTCGAAGGTGGCTGCAAATACCCTGGAATACCAATCTCCCCACCGCGTCCGGTTGTGTAGATATTTCGGACGTGCAAGAGCTTGTTGAAAGTCACGTACCTCGCGCTGATAGTGGGCCGCCGTGAATGCCGGATCCCACGCCCGAGCTCGGAGTTGCGCGTCTGGGAAATGCTGCGGCACGAGGTCGACTGGCCGAAGTGTTCCTGCAACCACCATTAATCATCGGACAAAGCCCACTTCTGGGGTCCTTTGTGCGTCCTCCTGAGCCCAGCCTCCTCCAGCCGCAGTGTTTCTTGCGGGACCGATTCCAGTTGGCCGATGTGCCCAAGCGTGGATACGGCAAACGCGTTGTATGCCACCGTATGGGAGTGCATTCCAAAGCCGTGCTCGGACCAGTTGTGACAACGCTGGATGAACTTGGCGTTGGTGTCTCGCCATGATTGCTCGCCTTTGCCTGGCACGATCATCAATCCCAAAGACTTGCCGCGTTCCGACACGGGCATACTGGCCAACTTAGGAAGGAACTGGTCGCGGCGCTGTTGAAACTAATCCAAAGTGCCCCGCCCGAGAAGAAGGGTCACGCATTTCTGCAAGTTCAGACGGAGGCCGGAGATTCGCCGGAACTCGTGAAATATACGTTGCAATTGTGGGGCGTCTTTCCAATGAGCCGTCAGCACGAGAGCCGTGCCGTCTGCGCAGGCACGAACGAGGGCGTCGGGACAATCCTGCTCGATGCGGTCCATGAGAACCTCGGCGACCGTGGCTGCAGCAGCGGGGGGAGCGGGCACCCTTGCCGGACGCCTGCTTCCAGTCGACGCCCGGTTGCCAACGATTTGCCGTGTCTGACAACGCAGTAAGAGTACGAGTACAGCGCGCGGATGGTGTTCATGACCCAATCTGGGATTCCAATCGACGTGAGCACCGTGAACATAAATTCCTGCGATATAGAAAGAAACAAACGCCAACGCGAAGTCCATGAGCAAGCATGCCTCGTGCTCCTCCTGGAGCGACGTGATAATGCTCGACGTGTCCACATCCAAGAGGTTCGCCAGAATGGAGCGCCCAGGAAGGAAGCCCTGCTGTCTGGGAAGGATCCACGTGGCGAGGTGTTCCTCCAAACGGTTGCGGGCGGCGTCGGCGACTATGCGGTTGTCAGCGCTGACGGTGTTCAGCAGTCTCGTGTTGGATGGGGTTTATGCCTTGACGCCGTCTGGCGTTGTGTTCGATCTCTCACTCGGGAGGCACACCAAGATGCTCTCGTTGTAGTTGTGCGGTTGGTCCAATGCCTCGTCGAACGATGCCCCCAGGAGCTCATCCTTTCCCCGTGAATGGCCGAAACGCTGTGCGACGTAATCATCAATATCATCACCACCTCCTCTTCCTCACATTACCGTCATCGATCATCACCGTCGTCATCGTCATCCGGGATGGCCAGAAGAACGCCGAACCTCGGCGGACGATGGGGGAAGGCATATGGCAAGGACTTGATTCGATGTGTGAACCATCCGCAATTGATACTGTTCCAGCCAGGCCAGCGTCGAATTGGGCCTAGTCGGCGAGGCCACCACTCACAAGATTGGCCCAATATGCTTTTGCCAGCACCACCGTCAGGTCAAGGAGACGCACTGCGTTCTCGGCCAAAAGCTGGGCAACGGCCCAGTTGACGACCCCGAAGAAATATACGGGGCCAAGCGTGGCGTTGATCTCGCGTGCCCTCACATTCCCAAACGCGTCGGAGCGGATCATGACGACGATCTACAGCCCACTGTCGGTTGTTGCAGTTTCAGCATGGCCCTGTGCTGTTGCAGCAGCTGGGTCACGTTGTGGTCCAGTGCGCACAGGTTCCCCCCGTAGAAAGGGCCTGACTCTTGTGCGAGGTTGCCTTCTTCTTTCTCATCCATCCGCACTAGCACGGTGCGGATGGACGGGGAAGAAGAATCCAGCCGCGCCGGTCATGCGGGCCCGCGCCAGAGGCCACCCCACCGAAGGGCGACTATTACCCGTTGGTCGGAGGAAATTGGGTAGAAACATGATGTATGAAGTTGGAGGCCGATTGGGTTTCCGCCCGCCCTCTGAAGAGGAGGGAATAAGGAAAGTCAATCGACTCTTGAAGTAGGAAGGCGCTTAAAGTAGATCGGGGTCCAGAAGCCTCAAATGCCCCTTCTCTTCTACCTCTCCCTCCTGCTTCTCTCGCTCTTTCCCCTCCAGCTCCTGCTGCTGCTGCTGCTGCTGCTGCTCTTCGTCTTCGCACCCACGAGATCGCCCAAAAAGAGCACGGCGGAGCCGCATTCGAGGCCCAGGGGCGAGGCCAGGCAAGGAGGGGTTGGGAACCTCCATGTTCGTCTCCCCCCTCTCCTCGTGCCCTGCTGGGCTCCTCCTCCTCCTCCACCTCCTCCTCCTCCTCGGAGGAGGAGGAGGAGGAGAAGGAAGAGGAGGAAGAGGAGGAGGAGGAGGAGAAGGAGGATGAAGACGAGAAGGAGAAGTATGAGAAGGATGACGAGGAGGAGGAGAAGGAGGAGGAGGAGGAGGAGGACGAGGACGAGGAGGAAGACGAGGAGGACTTGGAGGAGAAGGGGGAGGAGGAGGAGGTCGAGGAGGAGGAGGAGGAGGAGGTGTAGCAGGAGGAGGAGGAGGAGGCTGAGGAGGAGGAGGAGGAGGCGGAGGAGGAGGAGGCCGAGGCCGAGGAGGAGGCGGAGGAGGAGGAGGCCGAGGCCGAGAAGGAGGAGGAGGAGGAGGAGGAGGAGGTTAACGCGTGCACGCGCAGCCGATTCGAGCCCGCCCCGCGCCCAAAGAGCCAGCGCGGCCGCGCCGCCTTTTGTCCGCGCTTTCGGCCACCCCTCGAGCGAGCACGGCTCGGGCCCGTCGCGGGCGTGGCGCGGCGCGCGCCGCCGATGAAGGGCCCCGGGGGCTGCGGCGAGGGACGGGCCAGCCCTGAGGAGGGGACTATAACATGGGACGCACAGAGACATACTAATACTACGTGTCCTCCTTGGCGGCGCGCGTCCGACCCGAACATGTAGCATAACCATCTTGTAGTATATCGTGTCCCGAGCGGTACGGCCAGAAAACGCTGGCCATGACGCGTAGACTACAAGATTTCTCGGTGTGCGCGTCGCCCCTGGGGGGAGCGGCGCACACATGGTATTAGTATGTTGGGGTGACGCCGATAACAGGGGACCTGTCGACCTCCATCCCAGGCTCCGTGGTGTGTTTGAGTGGGCCAGACATGTTAGGCCCAGCTCTGGCATAGACGATGGGGGGCCCATCCCCTGCGGATGCATCCCTGGGACAAAGACGAGGTACCCCTACAGCTACTCCCTGGGCCTCCTCTGGGGTGCGTTCTGACTAGCACTCCGAGCATATTCCACCAGTGGCTACAAGGGATCTCCATAACGGGTAGTAACAGAGGATATGTCGAGTGTTTTCGAATGGGCTGGAAATGTTAGGCCCAGCCCTGGGATATACGATACACGGGGGTCCATCCTCGAGAGGGGGTGCGTCCAAATAGCCCCCTTGGGGGGTATCCCACACAAGGTTTCCACCCTTTTTCGAAGCGGCCAAACTTTTCGGGTGGAACTCGGGGATCGGGGGAGAAAAATCGCCTGCGAAGGACCTCATCGCGTTGAAGGGTGGGGAGCCCACAAGAGCCGTACGCGCCCAACCTCGTACATGAATACGGCCCCCCAGTCCGCGAGGCCAATATCGTGTTACGAGCGTTCGCGCCATTCGCAATTTCGAAAACAGCGTGGATTAATGTGCGTGTGCATGCTTCTGTCGCTCCTGAAGGGGGTGCGCTGGGAGCAGCGGGCAAGCCCGGTGTTTCACGCAGCCGTCGGGCTGGTTGCCATCAGAGGACGCAGAGATCGTGGATCATGGACCGGAGGGACTTGTCTGGCCACGGCAAGCTTGGACAAATAACCCTCAGATGAGGAATCCAGGGTCGGGAAGCCGGTGGAGCCCTCATCAGAGAAGGAATCCTCCAGGGTCTGAACCCTTCTGGGCGCGTTGCTGAACTCACGCCCCCACCCTGGGCTCCCCGACCGACCTGTTGCAAGGAACGACGCCGAAACGAGAGCTCCTCCTGAACCCAGGGGTGGTCTCCACTTCAGCGTCGTGACTGCGCTCGCGGAGCACACCTGTTCGCGACCCCATCTCGTCGTGCGCTCCCGGCACCTGCGAGCAGGGATTTCACGCTCTGAGTGCGGCCTTCGCTCCCCGCGCGCTTCCCTCCTCTGTGTCCATCCTCTGTGCCACCTTCGCCGCCGGCCAAGAAAGGGCGTGACCCCATTTTCCGTCCCTGAAGAGCTGACGCCAGAAGAGCCCGGACAAGGCAGCAACGGACATCACAGGACATCTCAGAGGGGAGCTCCCACCGCCCATAGACGCAGAAACATGTCTTCCTGGAGAAAAAGTGCAAGACCACCGCCTTGTCCCAACTGGAGGTCCTCATGGAAAAACCTTCTGGGGCCCTCTCGGGGCCTTCTTGGAGCATCATGGGGCTCGCTTGTGGCCCTCCTGGGGCTTCTTCGGGTCGGGCCCCTGGGGGCCTCGTGGTCCCTTTGGGGTTGGCCAGGGCGCGTCTGGAGCTGTCCGGGGATCTTGGTGCGGTTTGGGGTCGTCTCGGAGCTGTCTTTGGGCCGTCTTGAGGGTCGTCTTGGGGCCGCCTTGGGCCCTCTTCGGGGTCTCGTGGGCCCTCTTGGGGGCCCCCCTGGCCTTCTCCTGAAACAAGATGACGCTGGAAAATGAAAAGTGCCCCACAAATGCAACATCCGATCGGAATCTTGCGACGTTCGCGTCTCGTGGACCCCGGTCCCGCGTGCTCGCCGCCTAGAGGCGCAGAACATGGAGGAGGCCAGAGGAAGAGGGGGAGGAGAATGGGGAGGGGGAGAAGGAGCAGGAGGAGGAGGAGGAGGAAGTAGAAGGAGGAGAAAGAAAAGGGGGGGAATCAAAGGTCCACACCCCTGGCCGCAATCTCCTATAGGGATGGGCAGAGTGGCCGGGCTAGTCAGCAGCCGGCTCAGTCAACGTTCTCGTATTGTTCGTCGCTGTCCTCGTCGCTCCCTTCCGTCTCGTCCTCTTCCTGCGCCATCCGCAAGCAGGTGATGCCGATCCCAATCAGATCGACGAACGGCTGGACACCCGACCCTCGGCTAAAAGAAGAGTCTGAAACGGTTGGTGGTAGAATGTGTGGGACAGTGCCCATGTTATGAACTCCAATGCGCAGAGGGGAACATTGGCGGCACCGAAGATAAGACAAATGGCATGCTGATGTCGATGTTGTGTGCATACAAATATAAATACATGTATACTTGAGCCATGGCGCGCGCTTCGCTCAAGCTGAGATTGAAGCCCGCCCCATCTTTTGACGAGCCCAAGCTGCACGCATGCACGTATACACATATGGCCTGATCATGAATCGAGGCAATAGCAGTGACGCGGACCGACTAGGGACGTCTTACCGACATTAACAACCCCATGCAACATAAAGCATATTCAATGCGAGGCTATGCTAATCAGCGAGGGCAGTGCAAGCAATGTTTGCCAGGGAGAACATATGCAATGGCAGTGTAACGCAATCCAGCGCAGTGCTACACAAACAAAACTGATACATGCAAGCCAGTGTAAAGCTGTGCATGCCAAAACAAGGCAATGCAAATCGATGCAAAGTGATGGGGAACGCAGTACTTATGCAATGCAGGCCATTGCACTGCGATACAAGGTAAACCAGTTCAAATAACCAAGCGAACCCAAAGACCTCACACAATTATGAAACTGCAGTGGCGAGGACCTGGAGAAAGAACCAGGTATCCTGCGAGTCTTCCTGTCGACCTCCTCCTCATCCAGCTCCTCCTCCTCCTGCTACTCCTCCTCCTCCTCCTACTCCTCCTCCTCCCCCCTCCCTCTCCTCTTCCTCCTGGGTCTTAAGTGCCACTGGGTCGCTTGCAACAGGTAAGGAGGAGGGACGAGGAAGGACCGTGGAGGAATTAATAATGAAACATAGGCAAGGAGGCAGATGGGAGGACTGATGGGAGAGAGTGAGGCAAGGGGAACCCAGAGGGAGGAAAAGAAGAGAAAGGGGGAGAAGGGATGCGGGACGGCGACGTGATGAACAAAGAGAGGGAAGCGAGGTTGGAGGGAGGAGCGAGGAGGGAGGCAGCGAGGACAAGGACGAAGGAGATAGACATGAGGCCTATTGGCGCCTCTCGTGAAGCCACGTCCGAGACAGCATGGAACCGTACAACTGGTTATACAGAAACGCATGTATTTCCCCTCCTCTTTTTCGTCCTCATCTCTCTCCTCCCGATCCTCCCTCCTCCTCCTCCTCCTCCTCCTCCTCCTCCTCCTCCTCCTGCTCCTCCTCCTTCTTCCCTCCATTCCTTATACTCCTCATGCTTTGCCTCCTCCTCTCCTGTCCCTCTTTTCCTTTTTCCCCAACCCTCCTATGGTTGGGTACTAGTTTTGAATATAGCAGCGAGGTCGCCCCGTACTCCTCCTCCTCCTCCTCCTCCTCCTCCTCCTCCTCCTCCTCCTCCTCCTCCTCCTTCCTCCTCCTCCTCTCCTCTCCTCTCCCTCCTCTCCTCTCCTCTCCTCTCCTCTCCTCTCCTCTCCTCTCCTCTCCTCTCCTCTCCTCCTCCTCCTCTCAAGTTTCCTGTGTTCCCTTCTCCTCTTCTCTCGTGCCGTCTGCGATCTGCGCAGCTGTCGCCACTTTCGTGGGCTCCTGGGAGGCCCAGCGGGGGTACTTCCCACGCGGACCACCTCGGGACCTCGCCGCCCCCTGGTGGGCTTGCGATCTGCGCAACTGCCGCCACTTTCGTGGGCTCCTGGGGGGCCCAGCGGAGGTACGTCCCACGCGGACCACCGCGGGACCTCGCCGCCCCCTGGGGGGGACTTGCGATCTGCGCAACTGTCGCCACGTTCGTGGGCTCCTGGGAGGCCCAGCGGAGGCACGTCCCACGCGGACCACCTCGGGACCTCGCCACTCCCTGGGGGACTTGCGATCTGCGCAATTGTCGCCACTTTCGTGGGCTCCTGGGAGGCCCAGCCGAGGCACGTCCTACGCGGACCACCTCGGGACCTCGCCGCCCCCTGGCGGGCTTGCGATCTGCGCAACTGTCGCCACTTTCGTGGGGTCCTGGGAGGCCTAGCGGAGGTACGGCTCACGCGGACCACCTCGGGACCTCGCCACTCCCTGGGGGGCTTGCGATCTGCGCAACTGTCACCCTTTTAGTGGGCTCATGGGGGACCCAACGGCGTGGGACCACCTCGGGACCTCGCCGCACCCTGGGGGGGACTTGCGATCTGCGCAATTGTCGCCACCCTCGTGGGCTCCTGGGAGGCCCAGCGGAGGCACGTCCCACGCGGACCACATCGGGACCTCGCCGCCCCCTGGTGGGCTTGCGATCTGCGCAACTGTCGCCACTTTCGTGGGCTCCTGGGAGGCCCAGCGGAGGTACGGCTCACGCGGACCACCTCGGGACCTCGCCACTCCCTGGGGGGCTTGCGATCTGCGCAACTGTCGCCACTTTCGTGGGCTCCTGGGAGGCCCAGCCGAGGCACGTCCTACGCGGACCACCTCGGGACCTCGCCGCCCCACTGGTGGGCTTGCGATCTGCGCACCTGTCGCCACTTTCGTGGGCTCCTGGGGGGCACAGCGGAGGTACGTCCCACGCGGACCACCTCGGGACCTCGCCGCCCCCTGGTGGGGCGATCTGCGGCCACTTCGTCCTGGGACGGAGGTACGTCCCACGCGGACCACCTCGGGACCGCGCCGCCCCTGGGGGGCTTGCGATCTGAACTGTCGCCATTTCGTGGGCTCCTGGGAGGCCCAGCGGAGGTACGTCCCACGCGGATCACCTCGGGACCTCGCCGCCCCATGGGGGGCTCGCGATCTGCGCAACTGTCGCCATTTTCGTGGGCTCCTGGGAGGCCCAGCGGAGGTACGTCCCACGCGGATCACCTCGGGACCTCGCCGCCCCTGGGGGGCTTGCGATCTGCGCACTGTCGCCACTTTCGTGGCTCCGCCAGCGGAGGTACGTCCACGCGGACCACCTCGGACCTCGCCGCCCCCTGGGGGGCTTGCGATCTGCGCACCTGTTGCCACTTTCGTGAGCTCCTGGGAGGCATAGCGGAGGTACGTCCCACGCGGACCACCTCGGGGCCTCGCCGCCCCCTGGGGGGCTTGCGATCTGCGCAACTGTCGCCACTTTCGTGGGCTCCTGGGAGGCCCAGCGGAGGCACGTCCCACGCGGACCACCTCGGGACCTCGCCACTCCCTGGGGGGCTTGCGATCTGCGCAACTGTCGCCACTTTCGTGGGCTCCTGGGAGGCCCAGCCGAGGCACGTCCCACGCGGACCACCTCGGGACCTCGCCGCCCCCCTGGTGGGCTTGCGATCTGCGCAACTGTCGCCACTTTCGTGGGCTCCTGGGAGGCCCAACGGAGGCACGTCCCACGCGGACCACCTCGGGACCTCGCCACTCCCTGGGGGGCTTGCGATCTGCGCACCTGTGCCACTTTCGTGGGCTCCTGGGAGGCCCAACGGAGGCACGTCCCACGCGGACCACCTCGGGACCTCGCCGCCCCCTGGGAGGCTTGCGATCTGAACAACTTTCGCCACTGTCGTAGGCTCATGGGAGGCAGGCACGTCCCACGCGGATCACCTCGGGACCTCGTCACTCCCTGGGGGGCTCGCGATCTGCGCAACTGTCGCTACTTTCGTGGGCTCCTGGGAGGCCCAACGGAGGTACGTCCCACATGGACCATTCGGAGGTACGTCATACGCGTTTCTTTCAACGCCCCTGTGTTTCCATTTTGTCTAGTTGCCGTTCCTCTTCTTGCTGCGCTCTTCTGAAATCACTGTTGGGTGCTCTTCTTGCGCATTGCGGGCCCTTCAGAATGCCAGTCAGCATTGAGTGGTCCTGAGTATAATCGCCACATGTATAGAGAGGATTGGGTACGTCACAGGGTAATGTTTCCTCCTCCTCCTCCTCCTCCTCCTCGTCATCATCCTCTTCCTCTCTCTCACCTTTCTGATCGTTCCTCCTGCTGCTTCTCCTAGTCTCCCCCCTCCCTCCTGCTCCTGCTCCTGCTCCTGCTCCTGCTCCTACTCGTCCTCCCATTCATCTGCCTCACCCTCTTTCCTCTTCCGTCCTCCTTCCTCCTCCTATACCAAGGGTGCGCATGGGCCTATAATTAGGATATTAGGGGTGACGCTCGGTGCGGCCTGTAAGGAAACGCCACGACATCAAGTCGCTAGGGTGTCGCCACCCGGGCGATGCAGTACAGGCCCAGGGTGGTTGTTCGGGCGGTTCCTTTGGCCCGACGGAACATCGTTTTGTACACAGCCCACGCACCGACCACCAGAAGTCGTGGCTGGGTGGATCGATCGAAGACATAACATCGGCGCGCTGCCCGTCAGAACGCCAAATACGGAACGAGGGGGCCCTTCTGGCCACGGCGAGCCTCGGTCGCGAATAGGTTTCCCGCCCCGAATCTAAATAACGGCCCAGACATCAGAGCCCCTGCTAAGACCAGAGTGGCCCGTACGTCAGCGCCTTGACTAGAGGCCTCCTTAGATGGGGTTGGAGGATCGTGCTGCATCGCCGATGCATTGTGGATGCATCGCTGATGCATCGGCGATGCATCGGTGACGTCGACGATGCATCGCCGCCGTCGGCATGGAGAACGTCGGGCTCCGCATCGAACCGAATCGCCGATGCATCGGCGATGTGGCGCGATCCTTCGACCCCATCCACTCGGACCCCACCTAGGAGGCCCAGACTGACGGCACCTTCGGTCGAGGATCGATCGGAGACCGCTCGACGATCGGGGATCGGTCCGAACTCGCGGATCAAGGCCGGGAGGGGCCGCCCGGCCCCCACTACGGTCCCGCGGCGGCGCCGCGAAGCGCCCCGCCACGGACAGCACTCGCTCGTGGTCGTAGCTCTGGGCCTCGGGTCTCGGGTCGGCGGCGGCGGTTCGGGGGCGAGTAGCAGGAGGGCGCCACCCAACCGAGATAGGTCTTTAGAACACCCCCCAATAGCCGAAACGAATTATCCTTCCGACGCCCGCCTTGACGGTCCCACCAATGGTGGAACATAATTACGTCTCTGCGGCACCCGCCGCACAACAACGACGACGACGACGAGAACGACTACCAGGAAGAGGAGGAGCAGGAGGAGGAGGAGGAGGAGGAGGAGAATAAGGAACAGGAGGAGTAGGAGCAGGAGGAGGAGGAGGGGCGGAGTTTATTTCCCGCCGGAGAGACTAGGGGGGAGATCCTCAAAATTAAAGTCCTCCCGCGGTTATCCTCCACCTTGCCTCTGGCACGAAGTGGAATGCCCCAAGGCTCACAGCTGTGCTGTTGCTGCAGCCAGGATTGTGCTCCCAGCTGTGCTGCTACTGTAGCCAGCATTGTAGTTCCTGAAGGGCCCGGACCACCAATATCCCCGGGCGCTCCTGGCGCTTCTGGGGTGTTTCGCATGACCTCCGGGACGGCTGCAACGCCCCAAACAGCCCGTAGACTTTCGCGGAGATCACCTCCCCCGAACGCCCAAGACGGTCAACGTGCGCTTCTAGACGGCCTAAGATGGCCCCCAGACAGACCAAGAGGCCTCCAAGACGCCCCAAGAGGCCTCCAAGAGACCTACCAAGAGGGCGCCAAGAGGCAAAAATCATAGCTTTTCCATGTTTTCCAAGTTTTTGGGGTACTCGCGCTTTCGCCTTCCCGACGCTCCAAGACGGCCCAAGAGGCCCCCAAGACGGCCCCGCCCAAGAGGGCCCCAAGACGCTCCAAAAGGCTCCCCAGACTGCCCAAGAGGCCCCCAACACGGCTCCCACAGCCGTGGCCCCAAGAAGCCCGCAGGAGGCCCCAAGAGGCCTCCAAGAGGTCCCCAAGAGGCCCCAGGAGGCCCCCAAGAAGCCTCAAACATCCCAACAAACAACCTAGAGGCCTATGACCCACAACCCAAGCACGGTGGCGGGACGTACCCCGTTCAATCCGCCGCCCCCTGTTGATTTGTCACATGCTTGTCTGGCATGCTAGACTCTACTGTTACTGGTTTTGGTCTTTTCCAAAGGAACTCCCCCTGGGGCTTCGGCGCATGCCGCCGGCCACCCGGAAGGCCGCATTATCCGCCGAACAAATTGCCCAATCGCCTCCAAGACAGCCACGATGGCCCAAGATGGCCGCAAAGTTCGCCCAAGATGGTCCAAGATGGCCTCCAATATTGCCCAAGAGGGCCTCCAAGACGGCTAAGATGGCCCCAAGATGCCTCCAAGACAGCCTAAGATGCACCCCAGACAGCCTAAGATGGCCTCGAGATGGCCCAAGACGGCCGAAGAAGCCCCCAAATAAGCCTCCAAGACGGCCCAAGATGACTCCAAAACGGCATGCAGGAAGGCCCGAAGAGGCAAGCATCATTGATTATCCTCAGGTGTTTGACAAATGTTTGTACTGGCCACTTCTCGAACTTCCGACGGCCCGAGACAGCTCAAGAGGCCCCCAAGGTCGTCCAAAGATCGCCCAAGAGGCCTCCAAGATGGCCCGATGATGGCCCAAGAGGCACCCAAGACGGCCCCAAGAGGGCCCCAAGACGACCCAAGAGGCCTTCAAGACGCCCAACATGGCCTCTAAGATGGCCCTGAAGCGGCCCAAGAGGGCCCCAAGTCGGTTCAAGGAGGCCCCCAAGACGGCTTCCGACGGCGTAAGGCAAGCCCGGAACGCTCTAAGACGGCCAACGAGATCCCGAAAAAGCCCTCAAAGGCCCCCAAGAGGCCCAAGGAGGCTCCTAAGAGGCCTCAGAAAGGCTCTCAGGAAGCTCCTAGCAACCCCCAAGAGTGCTTCAAGGGGCCCCCAAGAGCTGTCCTCCTCCTCTACTCCTCCTCTTCCTCTTCCTCCTCCTCCTCCTCCTCATCCTCCTCCTCCTCCTCCTCCTCCTCCTCCTCCTCCTCCTCCTCCTCCTCCTCAACGCCACCCAGGACAGCGTTTCGTGGCCCGATAAGGAGCTCCACCAAAGGCTCCAGTGGCAGGGTCTACATGCGTCAACGCCACCCAGGACAGCGCTTCGTGGCTCCATAGGGAGCTCCACCGAAGGCTCCAGTGGCAGGGTCCGCATGCCTCAACGCCACCCAGGACACCGCTTCGTGGCCCCATAGGGAGCTCCACCGAAGGCTCCAGTGGCAGGGTACGCATGCGTCAACGCCACACAAGACAACGCTTCGTGGCGCCATAGGGAGCTCCACCGAAGGCGCCAGTGGCAAGGCCCGCATGCGTCAACGCCACCCAGGACACCGCTTCGTGGCCCCAAAGGGAGCTCCACCGAAGGCTCCAGTGGCAGGGTCCGCAAGCGTCAACGCCACCCAGGACGCCGTTTCGTGGCCCCATAGGGGAAATCCACCGAAGGCTCCAGTGGCAGGGTCCGCATGCGTCGATGCCACCCAAGACAGCCCTTCGTGGCCCCATAGGGAGCTCCACCGAAGGCGCCAGTGGCAGGGTACGCATGCGTCTCCCCCATCTAGGACAGCGCTTCGTGGCCCCATAGGGAGCCCCACCGAAGGCGCCAGTGGCAAAGTCCGCATGCGTCAACGCCACCCAGAACACCGCTTCGTGGCCCCATAGGAAGCTCCACCAAAGGCTCCAGTGGCAGGGTACGCATGCGTCAGCGCCACCCAGGACACCGCTTTGTGGCCCCAGGGAGCTCCACCGAAGGCTACAGTGGCAGGGTCCGCATGCGTCAACGCCACCCATGACATTGCTTCGTGGCCCCATAGGGAGCTACACCGCAGGCTCTACTGGCAGGGCCCGCATGCGTCAACGCCACCCATACAGGTACACCCCTCACACGGTTCGTGGCCCCACAAGGAGCTCCACCGAAAGCTCCACTGGCAGGGTCCGCAGGCGCCACCGCCATCCAGGACACCGCTTCGTGGCCCCATAGGGGACTCCACCAAGGGCTCCAGTGGTACCGTTCGCATGCGTCTCCCCCATCCAGGACAGCGCTTCGTGGCCCCACAGGGCATAGGAAGCTCCACCGAAGGCCCCATTGGCACCGTTCGCGTGCGTCAGCCCCACCCAACCCCATAGGGAGCTCCACCGACAGCGGTACCCACAATGCGGCACTCACAGCTGCATATGGTTGGGTCCTTCGCCGAGCTAATTTATATGTGTCAAGACCACTCGGCATTGCAATCTCTACGAACACAAAAATGTTTGAGAAATCCGGGCGCCCGCGCACGACGACGCGCGCGCGCTCCAGCCCGCTTGGCAAGGGACAGTTGGAAACGGACGATCTGTGATCAACGAGCGCGCGCGCAAAAAGCTTGTTGCAGAGGGCAAGGGTGGGGGAGTCGATGCACGACTGCCTGGGGCGGCATGAATTCATATTTACGATGGACGAGTGCGCGGAAGCATGCGCGCGAAGAAAAAAACTAAAAAGATCAAGCAATTTGCCTGGGGGTGTCGTAATAAACGTTCGGAAACGGAAAATGCATGTGCCGCGCAAGCTAAGTGGTGCAGTCTAACCGGCGCAGCTCATCCTGCCGACCTAGAAGTCGTCGATTCCACCGCTCGCAAAACCATCCCACCCACCCATCCTCAACTTGGTTTGCAAAACCCATGCGGAGGCGATTGCGATGACTGCTCGGCGCTGGCTGGCGCGTCGCCGCGGCCGCGCTGGCGCGCAGGCTCGCGCGCAGAGTGGCCAGCTAGTCCGACGCGACCGACGCGGCCGCGGTGGCACTGACCGCTGGGGACTTCCGAGCTTGTCTCGCAGGCCGCGCTGGCGCGCGGGCATTTCACTGCATGTCGGCGACGCGGGCGGAAGCGGTATCACGGCGACGCCGCCAGGAGCAGCCACTTTGACGACAGTAGCACCGCTGGTGACGATGCTGGCGGCGATGATGACGACAATGGCGACGGCAAGGGCAGCGGCGGCGCTGACGCTGATCGCGCCGATCACGATAATGGCGCGCCCGCGTCGTTGATGAAGGTTGCGACGAGGATTTCGACCTGCGCGCGCGGCCGACGCGAGCGAGCCGCCCGCGCGGCATTCTTCGTCTGGGATCGCGCGCCCCCCCCCCCCGCCCAGCACGCGCGCAAGGGCTTTCGGGCGATTTCGGCGCGCGCGCGCGCGAGAAGCCCGCCTGGCCGCATTTACTGGAAATTTGCATAGCCCGTGCGGTTTTCCAAGCATTCGCAGAAGCGCAGGCGAGAGCTTTCACCGGCAAAACCTGCCGCGAAACCAGAAGGCTGTCATAGTTATATCTTTTCGGGGCAATCGATGTTGACACCCGTGCGTGACCTCGGGTTTTTGGAAGGTTCTGGCGCGCGCGCTACGACGCGCGCGCGCGTCGCCGTATGTTTAGCGATGGGCCCTCGCGACAGCGCGCGCGCAATGGCGCCCGAATGATTTCGACGCGCGCGCGAGAGAGGCGCGTTAGCAGCATCAGATGAACATGTCGAGCAACCGATGACTTTCCTAAGAACTCGCACAAGCGCAAGCGGGAACTTTTGCTGAAAAACAGACGTTGCGAAACCACTGGTTGCGCATGTCTTCGGGGCGCTCGAAGCTGAAACCCGCGCGAAGACTACAATTTGTTTCGGGGGTAATGGCATTCGCGCGCGACGACGCGCGCGCGTCGCCCCATGCTTTGCAAGGAGTTCTCGCGACAGCATGCGCGCGAGGGCGCTCGAATGATTTCGACGCGCGCGCGAAGGGCAAGTTTGGTTGCACGTCGCGCACGCGTTGAGAACCGACGGTCTTCTCAAGAATTCACTGGAGCGCAGGCGCAGGCTTTTTTGATAGTCACGTTTCGAAACTATTGGCATTTGCACGTTGCCGGCGCATTCTGTTGCGGAACCCTTGCAGCATCAAAATTGTCGCTGGGTTTCGGCGCGCGCTCGCGACGGCGAGCGCGTGCACTTCGTCTCGCCCGTGGCAAGCGATGCTTGA